CTCCCTTCCCGGAGGGGGGCCCGGGTATCCATAAAGGATTTCCACACGTAAAAAAAAAAAGATTTTGTCGAGCTTAACGACAAAATTTAATGTCTTCAAGACAGCGTGGGAACTTAGTGTCGATCCCGAGCGTCAAACGATTGCGAATTTGTTGGAGCGGCTGATACGCGAAGATTCGAATTTCGACAAAGAAGATGATTCGACGAGCGCGCTAACGGTCACAAGGAAAGCGAATGCCAAGGGCAACGACAAGGACAAGAAGAAGAAGAGGCCAAAGAAAAACATAGAGTGTTACCGGTGTCAGGAGCGAGTGCATTACGCGAGTCAATGTGACAAACAGAAGAAAGAAGACAAAGGCAAAGGTCAGTCGAGTAACAGTTGCGCGTTTATATTAGACACTTTTTTTTTATTCTCCCTCTGCGGGAACGCCGTCAACCGTTAGGTTATTTAGCGTAATTCTTAAGCGTGTCTTCTTGTTTCGTAATTCTTAAGCGTGTCGTCTTGTTTCACACCGTCCTTCCTGTCCTTCTGATGAACTGGTATATCAGGTAAAGTTTATCCCAGTCCTCCCTCTTCAAGATATCCTCAATAGGCTCCACGTCCGTATTCTCGAGGCCTCTACTGTCGATCTCCGTCGCCAGCCATTCCCTTATTGAACTGTACTTTCTGCACGCCCATACCATATGGTCGAGGCTCTCTCTACCCCCTCCACACTCACATTGGTCCGATTCCACGTATCCTTTTCTAGCCAGCGAGCACGCCAGGTTATAATGATTCGCTCTTAACCTATTCATCAACGTTCCGAAGTATCGCTCAGTGTGTCGGCCCTTGAACCAACTCTTCCTTGCATCTTTCCTGTAGAAATATTTAAAATAGTATCTTCCCTTATATTCCGCCTCCCTTTCTATCACTTCTCTTGTGCTGTGCCATTCCTTGATTTTATGTTCCGCGTAGAAATCCGTAAAGGGAACCTTAAAATCCTGTGATTCTTCCTGTGACGCTTCCTTGGCCAAAACGTCCGCGATCTCATTTCCGGCCATCCCCCTGTGCGCTGGTATCCATACTATGTACACTTGTATATTATAGTCCTTCTTCAGGCTGTTGATTCTTCTCCTCGCCTCTACAACGTATGTGTTCTTGTAAACCGATAGGTTATTATTCTCTAAGGCCTTGATCGTGGCTTTGCAATCCGTAAGTATTAAAATTTCTCTCTTCTCTATCTTGTCGTTCCTTAACAAATTCATGACTTTTTTTAGAGCCATCGTGATTGCTTGCGCTTCTGCTGTAAATGACGAGCACGCCTTTGGTAACGACACAGTGTATGCCTCGTCCCACTCGTCGCACAAGAAACTCACTCCTGTAGATACGCCCTCCTCCGATCTAGATCCATCCGTATATACAGGGTGTTAATTAAATAGCGCCCACTAATACTATAA